TACTGAAATTGGGCAGCCTCTGTACAGGGGGTAGAAATGAGATAGTCTCTTTGTACACTTGCAAAGCCTAACATATAGAGTTTTGTTATCCTGAAAATTTCCAGCATCACTGAGGTGAGGATCCAATAAATTAGATTTGATCACGCAACCTTCAAATAATAATTTCACTCATGCCCCATCCATCATGTCCAGCCTAAGTGAAATGCCAGTTTGTACCATTAAAAGAAGTCTTAGACTATCAAGTGTAGAAATTCAGGGCTGTGATTCTGCACAGTGCATGTTGCCTGAGTTAATTCCAGCAAGTCTATTTTGTATCATCCAGTGCAGCAAACAGGAGTGTGGAAAAGAGTCCTCTTCGTGATTTTATTGAAATGCATGGGATGTATTTCTATAAAATTACAGCTACATTAAATAAAAGATCAAAAGAAAAAAAATCAGGTGGCACAACAAAATCCACCTGCAACTAGCAAAGGGCCTGGGAGAGGTGTGTTCCCCTACCAGAAAACACGAAACAAACTGGGCAATGGTCATCTCTGAAGGCTTCACAGCTTCATTTTTGTACATGTACTTCCAAAAGTGCTGCTAGCTACTGACTCGGAGTCAAGTCAGCTTTAGATTCCGTACTCCTTTCCTTAGCTTTCCATGCCCAGCCTGAAAGACGTTCAGTGCCCATCGCTGTCTGCGTTTTTCGGCAGCGCACAAGGAAGCGGATAGGGAAATGCAGGGCCTGGCTGTAAATCACCCTCTTTAGCCTTGGTGCCTGTGGCCCGGCTGCCGTGGGTCCCGACAGGCACAGCGGGCTCCTAGGTGCAGCTGGGGGAAAGGGAGAGCCTCAGCGCAAGGCCGCGGCGGGCAGCGCCGGCGCCCGCAGCCTCCTCAGGGCCCAGGGGAAACGCTCACAGCCCAGCAGAAGGGATTGTTTGTCAGCGCTTAACACTGCCCCAAATAATCATTAACTCTCTAGACCTGGAAACCGCTGTCCCTTCTCCGTGCCTGTCTTCACACGGCAGCTCCCCGGCTGGGGCAGCAGGTGCCGAGGCTGGTGCTCGCAGGCCCTCACACGCGCGCAGCCGGCTGCCGCCCTCGGCTCCACACGCGCAGGCCCCAAGGGCCCCACGCA